AACCTATGTAAAATTAATTTATATATGTCATAAAATTTTTAAATTTAAAATGTAAATTAAACCAGAAAACCTAGGCTATATTGACTTAGCATAAAGGTTGTAAATGATGTGATCGTAGATGCTTTCTTAAGTCTGTCATTAAGGCAATATTCCCTCTTAACGTATGTTTATCAAGAGAGTAATCCATGGGGGGTAAAAACACAAAACACAAATTTATATAATACAACTTGATTAGATTTAACCTTTAATAAACTCTGAAATCCAATAAAAAAAACGAAACACTTTATCAGATTATTGCTTCCATTAATTTTGTTTTATATTCAGAACCAATACGAAAACATTTTTGCATTATTCATTCAACATTTTGTTTTATTTAATAAAATATTTAGTGTGGGGGCAAATTCGTTTCTCGTTCTTTGAACTTAGTACATGGTTGGGTTCGGTAGGGGGTAGGGCGGGAGCATTGACTTAATGGCTAAATAACATAAATACAGTACTAGCTTAGGATTGTAAGATTGCATACAAATCTATGACAATATTTTAAATTACATTACAAACTGCATTTACATAACGGCAACAAGAATTGTGACACAAATATATATCAATATATGCGAACATTTTAAAACTCTATATATGTACATATATATAAATATATACATATTTAGAAATATCACAACATTTCGGGGGCATTATGTACAGAAATCAAAAGGCAGCAAAATTTATATAAGAAACAAATAAAGAACATGATCAATAAATGAAAAACAAAATAAAATAAAATATTAATATTAAAAATCTCGCATTGAGCGGCCTTTAGGAAGTCGTGTGTGTCTAAATTTCTGGCGCATAAAAATAACAAAAAACCCCAAGAGAACTCTCTAWAGTCTCTGGAAGATGGGTTATTCATTTAATTTTTATGCGCAATCTATTCATCTCTCTCACAAACACATGCAAGCTAAACTCAGAGTATAATTGAAGTTACAAGCAAGATAAGTGGGGTTTACTACGGGCTCGAAAATTGTATAAACTAAAAACTTTGAAAACCTGTTTTCACAGCTGACTAACAAATGAGCAGATAATATATATATATATGAATATTATGTATATAAATTTGAAAAGTCGTAATTATCATTATTATTTTTTTGTTTAATAATTATTTAAAATTATTTTTAAGAAATTATGTAGCTATGAAGATACAAGCTATTATATTATAAAAAAAATAGATTTATGAATGAAAATATTTAGTAGAGAGTCTAATAGGCTTCAAAATTTTAAATCATTTTTCATAAATTAACTAACAGAAAAACTAACAGAAAATTGTTGATATATAATTGAAAAATAAAATAAAAATTAAGAGTTTAAATTTCTTACTGGGCTTCAAATTCCAATAAATTATAAATTAAACTTTGATATATAGCACTGCAATAATATTTTATAAAACTGTTTTTTGGGTATTTCGAATATTAAATATTAATTTAAAATATACACCAAAAAATCTACTAAAGCCTGCTCAATCAATTTTAGAGAATTCAAATACTTTTCTCTGATGTTGTTCCCTGATTTAAAATGGTTAATGAATATAATATTATATAATAATATCAGCTCATTTGTTATTCAGCTATGGGGCACAGCCTTAAGCTATAAGGCAACTTATAATACTTGCTCAGCTAAACACGTTCGAGTTCCCTAGACCGTTTTATAGCTTTTCCGAATACTCGTACTGTGGCTTAATGCCGTTCTCGACCTTCCAGTCCGGCTCGAAGGCTCGATTCTCATGCTCTTGGAGAGAGTTTTGCAAGGCATTGGCGGCCACCTCGGCATGATTGCGATTTCTCGAGATTTGCGTTGAGTTGCGAATGCCGTAGATAAAGTATATGCAATAGCCAATGGCTATCCAGATGAGAAAGCGTATCCACGTGAACAAGTCCAGCTGGAACATCAAATACAAATTGACAAAGACGCT